AAAAGAGCATATTCAACTCCACTATTGACACAGTATTGAAATATCTTTCATCTACGCTTTAAGTCAGGCTAGAATTAAAACTCAATATCTGGAGACAACATCCAAGAACATCCTAGGTTATTATTTTTTTTTTCTGAGTATTATGCTCTGTATGCCTAAGACTTTCCTCACTGCCTAAAGAGATCTAAGATCCTCCAGAGGATATGTTCTTTCCATTTTCCTACCTTTAAAAGGAGAAATTCTTAACCAATTGTTGACTGTTGAGGCTCCTTGGAAGTCTTTTTGGTTCATCCTCTTCTGAAATGATTAGAATATCTAGATTCTCAGGGTCCACAAAACTCAGGGTATCCTTGATGCTTTGCCTCTGATACCTTAGTCTAAAGCTCTGCTGCTCACGTGACGTGTGCAGGTTCCTGGTTCTACCATTACTAATTGTTTAAACCTGGGCAACTTGTCGGGAGACACTTCTCCATGGTTCTCTGTGTGTCTTCACACCTTTCAGGCAGAGGCACTGACTACCTTTGTTTTAGAATTTGTTTCAAGCATGTTTGTTTAGTAAGTCACCTTTGAAGAAACAGACAGTGTCTCCTGGAGCAAAAGGCAGGCATGTTAGTGTCCGTTATAAAAATTCCTGTAACTCATTATACAATTCCTGTAACTCAGTCTATGTGTGTGCAGGTCTCACCAGACCCTCTTCGGGTTGCTCTCTAGGAACTGGGATTCAGGAAATTGGCAAATGAAAATGCTGCTACTCTTGTCTACTGCTAGTGCTGTGAGTAATAAAGTCCTTTGTTTCTTACCCAGAAGTCTCCTGTCTTCTGCAAGTTTTGATGAAACAGGCAGGCTAACTTGCTGGCTTTCAAGTATGGCAAAATAACAGACCATTGACAGTTTTTGACACTTTTAAAAACAGTATTAATCCTCAGTTTCCTCATCTGTAAAACAGACTTTAAAAATAGTACTGACCTATTTGTAGTGAGGACGATAAGCCCTATGCTAGTCATATACTAAGCCCTCAAGAAATATTTGCTATCACTGTTATTAAAGTGATACATTCACCCTTTACCTTAAATGCATAAATTCTTATGTGTAGTCTTATTTTGAAAGAAAAAACTTCTGTTCAAAGATTCTGTTAAGAAACGTATAACTTCAAGATATCCTTCCTCAAGTATAGTTACTTTTAGAGCCAATTTCTTTCATCAGTGTGAGATTCACACTTTCTCTTCTCAGTTTTTTTGCAGAACAATTTTATATAAAATCTTGGATGGATATAATGTAGAAACTTACATTCAAAAACAAAAACATTTATTTGTTTCCATGGAAAGAAATGAGAAAAAGGAGATTTGTAGAATAACTTTCTTAGCTTAGTTGGGCTTATGATTAAAAATTTAACTTCTCGGGGCTTCCCTGGTGGCGCAGTGGTTGAGAGTCCGCCTGCCGATGCAGGGGACACGGGTTCGTGCCCCGGTCCGGGAAGATCCCACATGCCACGGAGCGGCTGGGCCTGTGAGCCATGGCTGCTGAGCCTGCGCATCCGGAGCCTGTGCTCCACAATGGGAGAGGCCACAACAGTGAGAGGCCCGCGTACCACACACACACACACACACAAATTTATTTTCTAAAATCTTTATTCCTCAAGAGAACTGGCTGAAGGCACAATGGAGAAGCTGCTTTCAGCTGAACATATCAGGGTGACCATGTGAGAGCCCACGTCTAATGTGTGAGAGCCTACGTCTAATGTGTGAGAGCCTACGTCTAATGTGTGAGAGCCTACGTCTGATGTGTAGCTTTATTGCTGCCCTTGATATATGAAGATGGGAGAGATATACATTGTAGATATAATTGTGTTACTCTTTCTCTTAAGATGCCTCCTTGGATTCCTTTTACTTACAGGGAAAAGTCACAGTTGTTTGGCCAGGTTTTTCAGGCCCTTCCAATCTGTCCAGCCTCACCTTCAGCACATCTTCTACTTTAACTCTTTTACTTCTTCATAGGTCCCTGGGCCTTTTATGCTATTCACCCCTGCTGTACATTTTAGACCTATGTCTTTCTCTTCTTTCTACCCAACACAATCCCATTCATCTTTTTTTTTTTTTCATAACCTTGACATATACTTTTTTTTCAATTTATTTTTTATTTTTGGCTGTATTGGGTCTCCGTTGCTGTGCGCAGGCTTTCTCTAGTTGTGTCGAGCGGTGGCTACTCTTCATTGCAGTGCACGGGCTTCTCATTGCAGTGGCTTTTCTTGTTGCAGAGCACGGGCTCTAGTGTGCGGGCTTCAGTAGTTGTGGCACGAGGGTTCAGTAGTTGGCGGCTCACGGGGTCTACAGCGCAGGCCCAGTAGTTGTGGCGCACGGGCTTAGTTGCTCCATGACATGTGGGATCTTCCCAGACCAGGGCTCGAACGCGTGTCCCACGCATTGGCAGGCGGATTCTTAACTACTGCGCCACCAGGGAAGTCTCTCCCATTCATCTCTTGAGGGTCAGTTCAAGTTTCTCTTTCTCTGGGAGCCTTCTTTGCTTCTTCTAAGTAGAATTGGCTGATCCTTTCTTTGTCTGACACATTCTTAGTTAATATCACTATTCTTACCCTTAAAGAATTGCTCTGTATTTATTTGGCTATGGTCTATTTCACCTAACTCATTGCTAGTGTTGCTTGAGGGTAGAGATTGTCTTATTCATTTTTTATATCTTCTTTGATATGCACAGTGCCTGGCAAATGGTAGATTTTTTTCTTATCGATGGGGCATAGCATGGGACTGGTCAGCTTTTTTGAGATTTAAGCCATAGGATTTGTTTCATTGGCACTTGGTTAAACCTTGGTGCTTCTTAATACCAGTTGCTCATTGGAACACATGGAGAGCTTTGGAAAAATTCCCAGTGTGTGAGCTCAGGGACATTGACTGCACCTAATCTCATGGATTTGGATTTAGTTTGTTTTAAGTGGAGTCCAGGGGTTGTTAATAATACCAGTAAGTGCTTACATAGCTCTTACTATATAAGGCACTATTTCAGGCACTGTTTACTTACATTAATTTATAAGCATTTTTTTTTTGAAAGCCAATGTTGAGAACCACTCCAGTCTGGCTAAATGGCAAGAAAATATAATTACTGAGGTTGAAGTAAAATAATGACACATAATGATACAACTAAGCTGGATTCTTTTAGCAGAGCCTATTTATTTGTTTGTTTGTTTTAGTTTTTAATTAAATAGGGGAGTAAAAAAGCAATCCCAATGTGTGCAACTGTGATGAGCTGTGGTTAGACCAGAAAAAATTTTCAGTGACTGCAGGAAGAATTCAGATCGCAGAAAGAGATGTTAAACATTAAGAATCACTTTTCTAGTTGAAGGTCCAGCTCTCATGAGACAGCATTTTATTAACCAGTTTCCCATAAAAGTTTGTCTTTGCTCACTGGAGCTTTTCACTTTCAAAATGGAAGGGCTAATTTGACTGGACATCTTTGCAGCCATTTAAAGGAAGTGTAACATCTGGAAAAAAAGAGACTGTAATGATGAAAGTAAAGTGATATTATAAGAGATTGGACTGAAAATGGTCTTAGGTTAAAATAGTCAGTGTAGAACAGTAAAAGGGGGATTTTATGTACCATATTTAATTATGAAAAGACTTTTTTTCATATAAAACATATTATAAAAATAGTTTGCTTTTGCGTTAAAACACATTTTTCTAGCTTTCTTAAGGAACATGATTATTATGGTTCGGGCCACCCTCAGTACTGCACCTAGCTTCCTTACTAACCTTTTTGGTGCTTTTCTCTTTCCTCCCATCCATCCTTCATGCCTGCCAGTTATCTGTCATCACCTACCCAGGCGGTGCATGGAGGGTTAACCTCAGTGAGGCAAGGCACATGTGGTCCTGGGCCTGTAATAAACCTGCCCACGTGGGTGGTACAGGGAGTGGGGAGAAGAGTGTCACAAAATTCAGTGTCTACAGAGCAAGGCAACAGGGAGTCATTTGATGGCAGCCATTGGGTATCAATGAAAGCTGGAAAAACATGACCACATGGAAGCCCGATCAAGCGAGACTGGAAGATGGACCCAGACAGTAGAAGAGAAGTCATGTCTGCCAGGCCATAGCCATAGCAAGTTGGATTTTACTTCCTGTGGTAAACGAGTGTCGTTTCAGGGATCAGTCTCCACCCCATATGTCCTGAGGTCAATAGGGCTATAAATAAAGTGAATAAACCAGGGCCTAATTACTAGAGTTGAGAATAAGGTGGATGTGGTCTTAAAATAAGACAAACTGTTTTTAACCCTTAGGCACAAACTGAGAGGCAGGTAAGTCAGAAAAGTGACTTGATCCTAGGTCTCAGAATCAAGCCAGAGTTCCTTAAGGGACCAGGTTTTACCTATAGGTGATGATGGTCAAGTAGTTTAGATGTAGGTAGAAGATGGATGCAGTGTTTGAGGTACAGACAAAGTCCATCTTCTTAACACCTAACTCTGGTCTTTCTGATCGATTTTCTTCAATTGTTTCCTATAGATTATAGAATAAACCAGTCTCATTAATCTGACATGTAGGCTTTCTATAATCTGGTTTCAACTATTTTATTTTTTCACTTTTCCTTATCATATCTTCTTCCCCCAGCTCCTATACCTACTTGCTTTGCATAGAGCCTACAATTCTATAATCCAGACTAGTTAAATATTTTTCTTTGTCTGAACACACCATATACTTTACTGGCTTGATGCTTTTCTCAAAATTTTCTCCTTCTTATCTACCCATTATGTAGAAACCATTCCTAAATACCAAATGTTGGCAGTAATTTATTTTTTCTCTTTTTATTTCCCCACCTCTACCACTGACATGCCTTTTCAAGTGAAGTCTTATGTTGGCGTGATTCATCTTAATGTTTCTCATGAAGCCCAGTATAGTGGGAAAGACAAAAACAGAGGTTTCTAAAGACCCAACTTACTGACCGTATTTTTGACATTACATATATTTTAAAAATCACATTGGATCGCGCTGCCGGCGTGCAAGATGGCGGTGAAGAAAGACAAGAAGCCTAAGAAGTCAACTTGGAAGTTTAATTTGGACCTTACTCATCCAGTAGAAGATGGAATTTTTGGTTCTGGAAATTTTGAACAGTTTCTATGGGAGAAGGTTAAAGTGAATGGAAAAACCGGAAATCTTGGGAATGTCGTTCACATTGAATGCTTCGAGAATAAAATCACTGTTGTTTCTGAGAAACAGTTCTCTAAAAGGTATTTGAAACACCTTCCCAAGAAATACCTTCAAAAGAACAATCTTCGTGGTTGGCTTCGTGTGGTTGCATCCGACAGGGAGACTTATGAACTTCGTTACTTCCAGATTAGTCAAGATGAAGATGGATCCGAGTCTGAGGACTAGATGAAGCCATCCTTTTCAGGGCTTTGCTTGCTAACAAAACAAATGAAGTATGCAAGAAAACATCTTGAAATGGACCTTTAGTTTATCAGTGAATAAAAAACATTACTCTGTATGTTAAGCATTCATCTCTTTAAGTGTATGCTGTTTATATGGTGCTGGCTTTCCTTTAATACTTAAAAAAAAAATTTATTGGGGTGTGGTTGATTTACAATGTGTTAGTTTTGGGTGTACAGCAAAGTGAATCAGTTACACACATGCACTCCTTTTCTTTTTTAAGATTCTTTTCCCATATAGGCCATTACGGAGTATTGAGTAGAGTTCCCCGTGCTATCCGGCAGGTTCTTACTGGTTATCTGTTTTATGTATGGTAGTGGGTACATGTCAGTCCCAATCTCCCAGTTTATCCCCCCGCCCTTATCCCCTGGTAACCATAAGTTTGTTTTCTACATCTGTTACTCTACTTCTGTTTTGTAAATAAGTTCATTTGTACCCCCCGTTGTTGTTTTTAGTACTTTCTGTAAGCGGTATTTAAATAGCCTATAGCTAGTGGAATTTCTTCCAGGATTTCTGAAGTGTACCACTTTTACAAATGTCCTTGAGTTAAAGTATATAGCGAAAACATGAAGCACAATTTTGGGTATAACTTTATATAATAAAATATTTAAATTCTAAAAAAAAAAATCACATTAATTTACATGTTTTGAGTTTTTGTAGACTTTATTGGATTTGAAGAAAACCCCATACTCTTCTTGAGCAAACTCTGAAGTCTTATCAGTAGACTTAAAAACAATTTGGAAAATTCAGATTTTAAGAATTTTAAAATGTAGTTGCATAGCATATGTATGTATATTGTGAAGTTGACCCTTGAACAACCTAGGTTTGAACAGCGCCGGTTCATGTACACTTGGGTATTTTTCAGTAGTAAATACTACAGCACTACATGATCTTTGGTTGGTTGAATCCGTGCATGTGGAACTACAGATATGGAGGAACCGTGTAGTTGGAAGGCTGACTATATGTTATACGTGGATTTTCAACTGCACAGAGAGTTGGCGCCCCTAACCTCCACAATGTTCATGAGTCAAATGTATCTTTATTCTGTTATATAATACAAAGGCTTCTGTGTATGATTGGATTTTCATGATATTCAGAAAGGCAAAACCATGATAAAATCATTTTTGTGAACTTAGAAGAAAAATGATTAACTTGGATTAAAAAGTTCAACAATAGGTCTACTCATTACCTGGAACCATTAATTTAGAGTAATAGCAATTACTGAATAATTGCCTATGAATGAGAAGGGGTTGCTCAGTATTCAAAACTTATTCTCAGTTTCATACAGATCAGTGGCTCTCAACGAGGAATGATTTTGACTTGCCTCTGAGGGGTATCTGACAATATCTGGAGACGTTTTGGGTTTTCACAAATGGAAGCAGTGCTACTGGCATCTAGTGGGTAGAGGCCAGAGCCTGCAATGCACAGGCTACTCCCCCACAGCAAAGACCTGTCTCGTCCAAAATGTCATTGGTGTTGAGGCTGAGAAACTGGCTATAGACCAAGGCTAATGTTTGGTCTGTTGAAATTGACTTTATATATATATATATATATATATGTATGTATATATAATATTTAAAAATACAATATACAAATCTATACAATATATATGATATAATATACATAAATTTATATATACATATACAATATAATATGTAATATATATTTTTTCAATGAAAGTATCAGCCATAGAGATATATTAGTTTCAGAAAGTAAACTAAAGTTAATCAAAGTAGAAATTACATAAAGTATAATTAAGATGTAGAATTATGACCTTTCAGAGATTGTGGATTCTTATTACACTGAAATGTGCTGGTTTGAGTTTTGCTTAAATAAGTGAGCCCAATCCTCTGTCTAAGACATAATTTAATAATCCCCAGGCTTTTGTGGTGGTCATATGAATTGTTTTGGTCTGGGTTCACATGGGGTTAAACTACATGTTTCCATGGTCTCTCTGAATTTCAGGTTTTGCTTGATGGAGGAATATGGTAAATGGGAAGATGGAGGTAAGGTGATTAGTCTGCTAATCACCTGTAATGTTGGAACTTTTCTTCCCTTTTAAAGCTTTGCATCGCTTGGGCTTTTAAGACTTTCTGTCAAACTACTTATAACCCGAACGCATTACAGAAAAACTCTGCAAGGTGAGGTCAGTGTGCACTTCAAGGCCAGGGCAGAAGACTCTACTCCGTCATTTGTTTTCACTGTTTGGTTTGGCCTCTTCCATTAAACCAGATGGATAAGCAGGGCACATATGGCATGTGAAGTGGCTGGGCCTCCTGGCAGGCCTGAGCTGTGGACCCTGAGGCCTGTTGCTGTGCATTCATGTTTGAGTTCAAAATTCTCCTACTCATTTGTGCAGGGCAGAGGCCAGGCCCATCTGAGTTTAGCAGGAAGCATGCACTCCGAAATCCAAAATGTTCATCTAGAAGGAAAACACCTTCAGTTGCAAAGGTCTTCTCATCTGTGATCTGCTTTTCTTTTCCTTGGTGTCACTGGGCTCCCAATTCCTGACTCAGGCTGGTGGGAAATTCCCATTTTGAATCCAGTTTGGGTTGAATTTCCTTCTGCCTGGCCTTGTGGATGCTCCTGGAGGTAGAGAAACTGCTCTGTGGACCTGTAAAGATCGGGAAGGCCAAGGCCATCTCTAGTGTTGACAGTCGTAGCTCTGGGCCTGGTGGCAGGGTTAGCCTGGGATCATGGTCAGGTGATTAGTAGACACGCTGGTCCCATCGAGAGGTGAACCTCCTCAGCGAGATGGAGTGGATCAGGCTGCTACCATAATTTGTTCACTTTTGCTTCTGTTGTAGTTCGTGGTCACGGTAAGTTTCACATTTTACACAGTGGTCCTCTATTTTGGAGGCTGTAGTGGTTTTATGAGCTCATAAGTGGTGATAAGCATAGATTTTGGAATCAGAAAGTGTCCATCACATGTTAGCCGATAAACCTGCAAGTTACTTAACCCCACTGAGTCTCAATTTCCTCATCTAAAAATGGATAGAATAGTGCCTCCATAACTAGATCAGATCAGATATTGTATTGTGGTGTGGTAAGAGTATGTCTTCCAGAGCCAGACTGCTTGGGATTGACCCTGGCTCTGCCATTTGCTAGCTAGTTGGCCTTGAACACAATGCTTTATCTTTCTGTGCTCTATGGAGAGAATAATAGGATCCGCTTAGAGGGTTGTTGTCAGGGTTAAGAGGCTGAATCGCTTTGCTGTACACCTGAAACTAATACAACATTGTAAATCAACTGTACTCCAATAAAATTAAATAAAATGAGAGAGAGAGACTATATTGTTGGGCATCTTGAAGTACTTAATGACCATTAGTTAAATGATTATTTTGAGGGTGAAAATACTTGTATAAGCAGATAAATCTTTTATGAGTATGTGTTTATTCCATACATGCATAGCATTTATAAATGTACTCCATAAAAACTCTTTTGAAAGCCCTAAAATGTTGCATGATCTGGGTGATTTCTTAGTTTTCCACTGTTTTGAGAAGTTATTTCAGATACATAAATGGCTACTTATAAAGCTAGACCATTGTGTTTGGTATTGTTCTTCGAATTGAGTAAAGTTTGAGAAAAGTGTGCACACACACTTGCCTACATGCTTTATGATGGGTGTAGGTGGAAATTGGGTCTAATGAAATCAAGCAGTTGAAGGAAACCTGTCACTCTCAAGACTGTCAGAAACCCTGGGTTCCAGATACCTCTGGGAACTGAAGATCTCTTTGCCACGTGACTCCAAACGATCTGCTCTACAGTTGGCAAGTTACACTGGAATTAATGAATTAATTAAATTGCAATATAGTTGACGTACAACATTATGTTGATTTCAGGAGCACTACACTGTAATTTGACATTAGCATACATTATGAAATAATCACAACAGCAGCCATCTGTTTCCAGTTATTACAATATTATTGACCATATTCCTTAAACTGTGTATTACATCCCTATAGCTTATGTATTATATAATTAGAGATTTGAACCTCTTAATCCCCTTCGCCTACTTTGCCCTTAACCCCACACCACTTCCCTCCGGCAACCATCTGGTAGGCAGGACTGGTCCCTATACTGGTTGGCTGCAAAGCCTGGCTTTGTCAGGTGTCTGTGGGCCCACTGGAGGGCAGGGCCAGGTCCCAGTGCAGCTGTCTGCAAAGCCTGGAGGGCCTCAGGTTTGGAGATGACCCAATGGTAGGTGGGGCTGGGTATTTGCCCGGCCGCCTGAGCAGCCTTGAGGGTGTAGGGCCGGTGCTGGCCCTCTGATGGATGGGGCCGGGTCACCACATAGCTGTCTAAATGACCTCGGGGGCTCAGGGCTGGTGCTGGCTTGCTGGTGGACAGGTAAGACCCTGGCACTAATAGGCTGGAGAGAGGAGTCCAGAATGACACTTGCCAGTAAGTTGTTACTGTGGTAGAATGAGATCCCCCAAATGGCTGCTGCCAGGGTCTCCATCCTCACGGGGAATCCCACTTTCCTCCTGCCTCTCCATGAGGCTCTCCATGATTAGCAAGTGGGTCTGACCCAGGCCCCTTTCAAACTACTGCCTCTGCACTGGGACTTGGAGCTTGTGAGCTTATGCACATACCCTGTAGGAGTTGGAGTCTGTTTCCCAAAGCCCTCCGGTTCTCCTGAACTAAGCCCTGCTGGTTTTTGATATAGGACTCCTGCTCTGGGGAGCCCAGTGTGGGGCTTTTACCTGTCACTCACTGGGGAAGATATCTATGATTATGATATTCCTCCCACTTGTGGGTCACCGATACAGGGGTGTAGGTCCTGAGCTACACCGTGTCTCCACCCCTCCTACCTATCTCGTTGTGGTTCCTTCTTTATGTCTTTAGCTGTGGAAAAGCTTTTCCGCTAGTCCTCACGTTGTTCTCATACATAGTTGCTCTGTGAGGACTTGTGATTTTGGCGTGCTCAGGGGAAGAGGTGAGTTCTGGGACTTCCTACTCTGCTCTCCTGCCCCTGGATCTGCACCAGGTTACACCTGTATTTTCTCCTTCACTGCCATGTGCTTGTCCACTCCCAGAGGAACCCCCATGCATCATCCCTCCCAAACCTCCAGCTCCTCTGGAACCAGCTGTTCATTTCAACTCTTTTCGTCTATACTACTCTGGCTAG